AATATACAAGAAGGTGTGGACTAAAATTATATATTTTTTATCATTTGACGATCACCTTTAATCTATTTTTTCATTAAATATTTACAATAAAATTCATCAGAAGTTAATGGATAGTTTAAAATAATGCTATAGTGAATGTAGAAAAATGACATTGTAAAGAAAAAAATAATAATTAAAATAAAATTAAATTTACGTCGTCTCGAGCACTACCGAGTGGATATGGGTTGTAAGGGCATTTCCATCGGCACTGAATGGACAATTTATCTATTTTTTATTATTCAGTTAAATTTTTTTATTCTCTCACTCACTTCATTGTACATAATATCCGGCAAGACATTCAATTAACTACAATAATTTCCTCAATAATAGCAATTTTGCTATCAATCAAACTTTAATGTCCATTTCTCGTTTAATAAAATTTTTATTTGGCAATAATGAAATGAAGAGAATTTAAATTTACATTCATTTTATTGCTGGATCAATTTATCATGAGTTGGAACTCTAGTTTAATCTTTTAATGTTAAAACTCTCATTTCCCAAACAGAAAACCGCGCTATATCACTCCACACCCAATCTCTCTCAACTTACCAACATCCCATAAACTATTATCGCTTTCATAATTTAAATTTGTTCAAAACATAATAAATTCAATTCATATAAAGAAAAACTTTTATGTAATATAATGAAAAAAAAGCAAGAAAAATAGCAACGGAAACGTGGTCACATTCACATATATCATGAGAATATTTGATGCACGTCATAATTGTCAGAATAAAATGATTTGTGTTCACTTACTATTCCTAGTGTCATCTATAGAATTATTTAATGTTTGGACTTTGAGTGGAGCTTTTTAAATGGGAATGTAGATGCAGGGGTGGTGGAAGGGGTCAATTTGGGAAAGAGTTTGGAGGAATAAGAACTGTTGAGGTGAAATTAAATGAAATTTCAATAAAAACAACGAACGAGGCTTTTAAAAACACTTGACCTTATCATACGTCCATTAAAAAAGTGAGCAAATTTAAAATTCCCTTTTCAACTGTAAAAACAATAAAACTATTAAACCAAGTCCTGCACATTTGCAACATACATTTTTTTTGTGAACTCTTTTTCTTCCTCTTTTGGCATTCTCTCCCAGTTGATATGCAAAAAAAAATATAAAAAATGAAAGAGAAAAAAATATCGCTTTTATATATGGATATTATAAATTCATAGAGTTTAATGTACACTCATCAAAAATTTTATATTTTTTATATATATAAGTAATAAAATATAATGAAAAGAAGAGAAATTGTAACAACTCAGACGGCGCCAGAGTTCTTTAGAGTGAAGAAAAGAAGGAAAGAATTTATTAAATTATTGAAAATAATTGGATGACTAAAGCGCAGTTATTTGTGTGAACTATGGGAATTATGGGAAAATAAGACTGACTTGGAGCTGAATTGAGCTGAATTGTGGATGAATTGAACTAAATTGTGGTTGAATTTATCTGAATTCTTGCTAAATTGAGCTGAATTGAAACTTAATTGTAGCTGAATTGATTTGAATTGCAGCTGAATTGCAGCTATTGTAGCTGACCTACAGCCTAATTAAAGCTGTATTAATTTAAACTTTAGCTGAATAAAGCTTAACTGCTGCTGAATTATAGCTGAATTAAGTTGAAAATTGAGCTGCACTGAGCTAAGTTGAGTTGAATTGAGCACAAGTAGATTATAATGAAATTTAATATCACAACCAAGTTCCAACTTCGAATCAGAATTGTTTTATTGTAAATTAAAATTAAGATCATTTCACAAATCTTATCCCAATTCCAATCCGCCTTCAATAAACCATTTATCTCGCAAAAATGTGCCATAAAAATTTAATATAACTTCAAAAACGAAAAGAAAAAAAAGAGAAGAAAAAAATTATATAAACTTAATTAAAAACGATATACATATAAATTTTTATTTCATATAAATATAAATTTTCTTTAATATCGAACCACTTTTATAAGTTGCAATAAAACAAAATAATAAAAAAAAATTCTATAAAAATTTATTACATTTCATATTTCAACGAAACAGTTACGGAGTTTTTAAGAGCATTATATTGAGTATTTTTGGAACGGATGTGTATGTTCTGTTTTTCCTTTTTCTACTTCTATTCTTTTCACATTTTTCCTTTTCGTGTGTTGATGTGATAGGGTTGTTGTTTTAAAAAATATGTACACATATAAATAAAAATACAAACTTTTACGATCTTCTCGTCATTCTTTATTTTTATGAAATACATTTTTAATCAATCATGCTCCTTCAAAACTATACTTTTAATATTATATAAAGCAATTCAATCTTTATTACCATCAGCGAGTGTGCTTTTAGCATCAATTTCATGTTTTAAGTTTTATACAATTTTTAATGACATTATTATTGTTGATCGTTGTTGCTGTTGGCACTTTAACATAGTCTTAATGTTGATGCACTCCTTTATTACCTTATATTTATTAACACGATCTGTAAATTTGTAGAAAATTGGTGCTCACTTCTTCAGTTAATAATGAGTCTATTAGGGAGGTTTATTGAACGATTTTGTATGTCAATGTGAATTAAGAATTGGATTGAAGATTTGCATGAAATTTTTAAATAGCGTGTCATTGATAATTTCATGCTTTTATGAATATTTCGTGCAGATATGATGCAGAGTGAGTGGATCTTCAGATTTTAGTTTTGTTTTTGGAGATAATTTTGTGTCCTTAAACTTCATAGTGCCTCATTTTACCAAATTGACCGCATAATTAATAGGAACTCTTCAAACTAGATCATTTAGAAATATATTGGACTAGATTTTGTTAGAATTAAACTATTACCTAGATCTTGTACCTTAAAGGAATAGATTGCTCTTGTTCCTCATAGAACTAGCGTTGAATAGGACTAGATTACTTTAGTACATCATGTTACTGTACTCATTTTGTACCTTAAAGTACTTGAATACTCAAGTCAAGCATTTGCTTCATGCGATCACCAAAAAATACCAAAACCACTCCAAAACTTATTCAGTCCATAAGAAGGTCATGACACCAACAACCTACCATATTTTCAGCAGCACTTTTCAATGCATTTTTATTGTTATTGTTCCTGTAAAAGTGCAATATCCGTATAATTTCATAATTCAATTTTCAATCATGTATTTTTTTCATTTCAATTCTTTTCATATATCGCATAAAATTCACACACAAGTACACATAATAGCAGCAGCCCATAAATGTCATATAATTCAAACTGTACAAAATGTAGTGTGTATGTCAAATAATTAGTTAATTGAGGACATTTAATATGAAATGCTACAGCTAAAGTGAGATTGCAGACACTATTATAAGATTTTCACAATAATAATTCGCAATTAGATAATGATTCCGATATTAAAAATTAAAAGAGTGCATTTGTATTGAAAATTTTCGAGATTCAGCATCAGGTTGGGAAAGGGTGGATGGATAAGGGATGAGTTAAATGATAATTAGGCATAAAATACACTTATCATATATTCAAATGTCAGAAAATAAATTTTCTTGTCAATTGTAGACACAAGAATATACATGACATTATAATATAATCTCAAATTGATATTGGTAACAAATTTAATGGGAAAACATGATAATTATTATTAATTGTATATAAATATCTACCTACATATCTGCGAGATATTTCACCTCACACTTGGTGCTGCAAGCAAAAGCAAACTTGCTTGTTGAGTAAAGGTTTAATTTAATTGCTGATTGAGTTCTACGAAAAAGGTTTATGATATCAATTAAATGCAAATCTTTACTCGCTCTCATGCTACAATAAAATCACAAATTAAAAAAAAATATATATTTTTTTTTGTTTTCTACATATTCGTGCTGATTGACTCTTGTGAGATTATTATTATTGATATTACTTGTTATTATTGTTGTAGCGTTGACTTTTTATTTGAAAAATTAATGCAGTTGTTTGCGGTTATGAAATTGGATTGACTGACTGACATTGGAGGGTTTAATGTGGAGTAAATTAAATGAAAATTTTCTAGATTTGCTATAAATGAGCATTTAAAATTACTAATAAATATTGTTGAGTGATTCTGTGAAATGTTTAATTCTCTAGGGTAGGGGTGAAGCTAGTAAGAGGTCTAATAGGTAGTTGGAATTTTTTCTCAATTTAAATGTGGTTTGGGAAATTTTTTGAACTCTTTAAAAAAATTGAAAAAAAAACTGGAAGAACCTCGGAAAGAACCCCTTACTCTCCTCAAGAGGTCCTTCAAGAATTTCTTATTATGTCAATGTCGAAAGCTAAATCAAACTATGAATAGCATTCTTAATAATTCATAAATTTAATACAAATTCTCGCTACAATTGCGCTCTAATCACCAGCTATAAAACTCTAAACCACAACTTATCGACTTTTCAGATTTTATTTTCCACTTTTCCCCTCTTCTTCCAACTCATTTAACTCATTTTTTGCATATTAATGGCTAAAGGATATACATTCATACACATCTATATAAAGTTATTGTAAGGTGTAATTTTTGCTCATTGAAAATTTGCATTCAACGTCATTTATCGATAGTCTTATTAAATTTCAGAGTTAATAACAATATATTATTGAATTGAGCATTAAATAATATTGAAATCGGTTTGCATGTTATGCATCAATAATACTTCTCAAATGCACATACTTACCTCACTCCTCAATATCTCTCTCATGTGAGTGTGGCTGTACACATATTTAGTCTTTTAATAATAAAATTGAAAGGTAATACTTATTGATAAGTGTCTGTGTGTATGTATGAAGCTTTATATCGAAGATATTGTAGCCAATTGAATGGATGAATGAATGAGGCTGAAGTGAGATAAGAAACAATTAAATATTAGGGATCGATGGGAATCATATCATAAACATATAATATGCAATATCTACTCAAATTATATATTAAAAGGCACAAAACCACTAAAGGCTATCTTTATCTCTTCTCTTTTTCTCTCGTTGCAGGCAAAATTATTAGAGAATTCAGCATGGCTAGGTGCTGCACCATCAAATATATCAGGTAAGAATTTTTTGCTGCATTATTTATTTTTTTGGGGCTTTCTCAGTCCTTGATCATGGGAAAATTAAGATTTTTTTTATCATCATGACAAGTCAGCTTATTGACTTGAATGAGGAAAATTATTAATTTTTAAATTTGTTGTTTTTTTATATCTTGTGGACATGATAAAGTGGATGGAAAGCTTAATTGTGGGCTACTTTTTTTTTGGTCGAGAAGCAATTATCATGCGGTTGATGAAAATCATTGGCTTTATAGGATGAAATGAGTTAATAACATAGATTTTTTTGAGGGTATTTAATCAGTAGTTGATAGCTTTAAAATTGAGATGTTTAAAGTTTTATGAAGATCAAGTTTAATTTTATAGAAGAATCGATTTAAAGAAGCTTGGATCTTCTTGGTTCCCATCTCTTGAAAATGTCAAACATATATTTTATATCTAAAATACACGCCGTTGAGTCCGATTCCAAAAAGATATGTTTTTGCTCGTAATTAACAAATCTACCCCAAGATAAATAATTTAAAATAATTGTTTTCTTTTCTCTTTTTTTCCTCCACAATTCTCACTCCAAATCTCTTGTTTTGAAAGGACTTTTTTGTGATATTGAAACAGTATAAAAAATAAATTTAATTTTTTTCTAAATCATTCGACAGAAAAAAAGAAAAGAAAAAACAAATGGAAAATTTATTGTTGAAATACATAAATTACAATTGGTAAAATGAATAAAAAAAATAATTTCATTTGTTTTATTAAAAGAACTCTCCCTTTTTTTAACTTAGCTACCCAAATGCTATTTTTTCAACCATTCCTTTATTTACGTCAAAGTCCATAATTAATTTCCAATATAATTTATTTTATTTAACAAAAAAGATTCTCGTTTTTTTTTTCCTTTTTCACCATTTGGTAGAAATTGGAAAGTTGTGCAAAGAAAAACAACGGAACTGAGTCTGAGAAAATCTGCTTTTTTTAAGATGAAAATAACTTTAATGACTGAACGGCTTTCAGAATCAATTGCTTAGAGCATTTGCACTAGTCAGGGTTCATTTGACATCCTGGATAAAATATAAAAATGCGTTTAATGCATTTAAATAATTCCTTATTCAACTTCCCATCCCACCCCCTCCCATGTACATTGATTAGAACCTTCATCCACCCTCCCTCGTTTCATTCGACAGAAATAAAGAAATTTAATTAAACTGTAATTAGCAAAATTTCCTCGAGACGACAAGAAGATTTAAATTAATTGTACAAGCATTGGCACTAGCCCCTCTTATTACAATCAAAATATTCTTTATGTGTGCATTTCCATAAGAAATTAAATAAAGGAAGAGGATACCACGTGACAAAATGAAAGTTACTAATAACAAACAAAAGATAGATCCGAGAATAGATTAGGCAGCTTTATTTTGATAACATAAAAGAGCATTTTAATTTAAGTGGCATGTGGAAAAAATTAAGTGGCTGAATTTTTCTTTATCGCCTCTATATAATCTTCATGCTGTCTCCTTCGCACTTCAGTTCATTTCTTATTTTATTTTTTGAAGTTTAAAGAAGAAAAAGTTTGATTAACAACAAATTTGTAAACGGACAAATTGTTGAGAAAGTCAAAATTGTTTAGTTCACGCTGTTGGTTTGAGATACATTATTTTCAAAAAAGCAAGTTTTGTGCGTTTAAAAAAAAATAAAAAGAATATAAATTAGTCGGAAAAAAGGAAAATTTGTTCATGATTATTTTTGAATATTAAGGAATCGAACCAATGATTTGATTTAATTTTAATATTTATTTCATACCATTCTTATAAAATTGATTGACAAAACTTCAATATTAATTTCTTAAAACATTATTAGCCATTTAATGCATTCATAAGAACATCAAAAACCTAAACGCAGCTTGCCACTGCACCACATGCTTCAAGCTGCACATCATCCTCTCTTTCAGAAAGAACCCTTTTCATTGATCTAATCAAAAAGATTCACAACTCATAATAATCAATCACATGATGACCAATCAGCCACCGAAATTTTAATTTTTTAAGACCATCCGACAAAAAATTCCAAAAACAAAAAATAAGCAAAGTCGAGAAATAAGAAGCAGAAAACTCTCAAACAGTATGTGAAATGATGATTTATAAGGTGTGAAATTTTGAACGAGAGTCGAAAAGAAAATAAGTCAAGAAATCATGATCAAAAGAATAAAAGAAGAAGGAAAAATATAATTTACATAAAAATATAAACCTTTTTGCTCGCTGCTGCTGCTGTTAGTTTTTTGAAGATGAGCAAAGGAGGGAGAAAAAGAAAAAGAATTCTAATGAAAGAAATTAAAATATAAACAAAACTCAATTTTAATTATTCAAATCTATACAACATATAACTGGCTACACAAAAAAATATACTTTTTTTTCATTTATAAATATAATTCCACGAATAATAAATGTGTAAGAAAAAAATGAGTAAAAAAGAGAGCATAAAGAATTATTTGAAACGCTTTCGGGTTAGTTTGATACTTTCGAAGTAAGTTTCGAACTTGGTATTTTGAGAGTTGGAGATAAATTTGTATTTTTGATGCATGTTAATTCAATACAGAATGTTTATTAATTTTAAAGCATACTTGCTAGGGCGCACGTGGGCTGATTGCCACGTTTAGAGATTGTCTGAAGACAGCTCTATCCATAGAAACATTCTGCCAGTTCTGTTCAACACATCCAATCCAAGAGTTCTTCGGTCTTTCTCGTGATCTCTTGGCATCCATAAAGTCTGGGATTTAAAAAAGGAGCTAGATGTAACTTAACTGGTCACAACCACTTACACAAAGAACTCTTTTAACAGCTCACAACGACAAAGTTGGAGAGATATTTTAAAAGCCAATCCAAACTGCCGATTAAGTTTTTTTCACTCAAGAAAGAAGTGAAGAAAAAAAAATTATTTCAATGATTTCAGATATATTTTTTTTTACTTTCTTTTGAAGTAGTCTATTTACAACAAAGTAAATCATTTTATATATACGATTTAATATAAATCTTATACATGTGAGGATGAGAAAAGAAAAAAAAAATTCTTTAATGAAAAATCATCCGAAATGAAGAGGAAGAGAAAAATGCATGTGGTATGTTTACATTTATGTACATATGTATGTACACGATGTTGTTGATGATGAAAATGATTTTTTTTTATAAATAACAATTTTTCATGTGAATTGCGGGTGGATGAGAAACACATACTCAAAAAAAATATTATTTACATATTCGCTCACTCACACAGTGCAGCACATCATTCGTCGCTGTGTGTGATGTACGAAGACGGGCGGTAAAATCATAAAAGGGTTCTTTGATATTTATCACAACAGACAGTTTGAGATTTTTCACTTCTTTTCTTTTTTATTTCTTGTGTTTTATTATAATCAAATAGTTTACGATGAACTAGTTGGAAGTGTCTGTTCATTTCTATTCTTATTTTTATAGCCTAATAGTTAATATTATTTATAATTTATTTAAATGCTTTAATCTTTTCAATCTCTTTATTTTTATTTTAATGTTTTTAAGAACATGAGTAACGGCATGTGGTCTAGACAAATTGTTACTAACTGAATGCTATTGCTGGTTATTGATGTAATCAATAGAATTGGGTTTTGAGTCTTGTTTTGTATTGATTTGTTGGTTTTTATGAACTAAAGTGGGGTTCTCGTCGATGAAGTTTGATTTGGAATGGTTGGAGATGATAGAAATGTGTCAACTAAAGGAGCTGTTTTAAATATTAAGAATCAAGTTCCTTACAATCAAATTATCACTCACTTCACTTCACAGCACAGCACAATGTTGCAACCCTCCTCACATCTCTAATAACACTTGTTACTTTAATAATTTATTATACATTATAATTTATATTAAAGATTGCATTTATCACTAATCAAATATTGTTCAAGATAATTATTTCTCTTTAAAATAGAATAATGAAATAAAAAATGTTGCATATTGACCTAACCAGAATTGAATTTTACACTTTATAAAGAACTATGAATGCCTGTTGAGTAGATTTTAATAAAATATAGGAGAAAATTTAATGGAAAAAATCAGTTTGAAGTGAAGTTTTTATGGATTTTGCTGGATTCTTTTGAGGCAGTTAATGAACTGTAAAATGACACTTATGGGAATCAGAAGTTTTAAACCACATGAGAGGCTCTTGTGATGCGCTTTTTTGAAGAAGTTTAAATCTTATTTTGTGAATTGAAATTTGAATTTTAATAAATTTTATTTCTTTTAAATTTTTTTCATTTGAGATTATTTGTTTAAAATTATTATGATTATTTTCATCACTTCCTTACTTTTCAAATCTCACACTATTATGACATCATCAATCACTAATCACTCTCGAATCTCCCCAATCAGTAATTATTAGAAAAAATAGCAAATTTCACAACATTTTAATCGATTTCAAAATTATTTATTTTTAAATACATATCAATAATATTTATAGTGAGAGCAAAATTATCAAAAATACGATAATAAATCCTTATCATCTTGTTTATTTTATTTCTTTAATCATTTCAATTCAATATTTATTATAGACACATTATTTGATTGCTTTTGTTGAGAAATTTATCAAAATATTGTTGAAATTGTATGAAAAATAAAAGAATAAAGGAAGCGTTGCGGCTTTTGAGTGGATTTGTGAGCGTTTGTGGCTCACAAGAGCTAAATTGTAGTTCAATTAAAATACAAAGGTTGCAAAATTAGGTTAAGAACTTCTTACATTTGAATATCTTAATTCATTGAGAAATCAAACTAGTAAGTCTTAGACCAAAGTTAACCAAAATATAAAATTTTTTAAAAATTTCAATAATAAGATTTAAATGCTATAAATATGACTAGACATGATCAACAAAAAATTATTCAAAAAAATGGAATCAAATTTTTTCATCGAAATTTTTATTGTTTTACCACAAAACATTTTATTATTCAATAAATTTAATGATCAAGTTCCGTTAATTTTGTCATCAAGTCCGACA